GAGTTTAGGGTTCAGGGTTAAGGGGTTTGGGTTTAGGGGTTCGGGTTTAGGGGTATGGGTTTAGGGTCTAGGGTTTAGGGGTTTGGGTTTAGGGTTTAGGGCTTTCTTCCCAGAGACTCCAATATCCCTTAATGAAGGAATATATTTTAAATCATATTAGGGATCCTTCTATAACTTAAGGTATATCCCTTAATTAAGGGATATTGGAGTCTGTGGGTTTTTTCCTCATCCAGCCATCAAGACCTTTCTAGAGCCGTATATGACGGCCGAAGTAATTGTTGAGCAGAGGCTGAGATCAGACTTCCGAGTCCTAAGCCCTAAACCCTACACCCTAAACCCTAAACTCGAAACCCTAAACCCTAAACCTTAAACTCTAAACCCTAAACCCACACCCTAAACCATGAACCCTAAAGTCTACAGTCTAAACCCTACACCCTAAACCCTAAACGCTAAACCCTAAACCCAAGCTGCAAGATGTGAGGCGCTCTGTGGCACCAAATTCCAAGTCCGGAGTGTGCGCCGGCTGGGAGAAGCGCGCTGATTTCGGACTTTCAGGTTTAACCCTAAACCCTAAATCCTAAACCCTAAGCCCTAAACCCTTAACCCTAAATGCTAAACCCCGAGCCTGAACCTTAATCCCCAAGCCCTGAACTTGGGGCCCTAAAGCTTCAACCCTGAACCCTATTGAGGAGTGTTCAGGTTTCAAGGATTTAAGTCCAAGGGTCCGAGAGGTAGGGCCAGGGAGAGAAGATTAGGGTTGAGGGTTTTGGGGGTTGAGGGTTTAGGGTTGAAGGTTTAGGTTTCAGGGTTTAGGGGTTTAGTGGGTTTAGGGTTTAGGAGTTTGGGTTTAGGGTTTAAGGGTTTAGGGGTTTAGGAGCTGCTGCTTAGATGAACAGCATCATTATTCGTATTAGTTGCTTTTTATTACTCTTTCCCCTGCTTTTTTTTATCATGATCACGATTAATTATGATTGCGAACTTTCAACTTGTTACTATAACTACCATTACTGGCTTTGTAGCTCTCTCTGCTTTTGAAAAGCTCTTGGTCCGACTTTGACGGGCTTTTTGCTTGAAGGGTCCGCTTCAGGATGCAGAATCCAGCAATCCGAAGACGACTGCTACAGAACGCTTCGGGGTTTAGGAGGTTGAGGGTTTAGGGAGGTGGTTCAAAATCAAAAGGTCCCGAGGCCACGTCACTCAAGTCTCCGTTTTCATTGCAGACGAGTCCAAAGCTTAAACTAAGCCCTAAACCCCGAAACAATAAACCGTAAACCCCATGGATCCCATGCTACAACTCGCAAGCGCCTAGAACTTGAAGGGATGCATACAGCAACAGCTACAGCAACGGGAGGGTGCTAGCAATCGCAAGTGTTCCATGGTGGTCGTAAGTTATGTGCCGCATCCCAGGTGCTGCACAACTTCAATGCACATGGCCACCTCAACCTTATCGCACCGGTGGGAACAACAATGACTCGACGAACGAAGGCCGCCTGCATCCTTGACCCCGAAGCGGCAACTTGAAACCCAAATGCCAAACTGCTGTCGGGTGCTTGGTAGGGAATGGGGGAATGGATCCCCAGGATAGTCCCTTACGGTCCTTTATAGTAGTCCCTACAGCCCATTCCCCCATTC